TATTAGGTAATACTAAAACCATTATTATGGCATGGCTAAACAACATTTTCATTGCATTCAGGGATCCCCTTAGATAACAAATGTTTCATAGAAGGGTTCCGCGATTGCAATGAAAATTTTGTTTAGCCGAGCTATTTAAAAAGTTGTTATTTTTAATTTGATACCTATGTTATTTATTATAATCGCAGAAATATTATTTCTCCATACTTCATACATCCATCCAATACAGCAAATGACGTCATACATCCGCCATATTGGATATTTATAGAAGAAATATAACCAGTGTTACTCGGGGTTTCTATTGACATCCTATACATTTATATCCGTAGTCTTTCAAAGGTTATGATGAATTAAAGAAATATACTTCTTTTTGGAAAGTTGTGTAAAAATAGAAGAAATAAATATTTAAGAGATCTATACAAGAAACGTGATATTTTTACATTGTTTTAACAAAATAACATTAATATTACGTGCGTCATTATCAACATTAACAAACACATTTCTTGAGAACCTAGTTAGCTTTAATTATGCAAATCCGAAGGCGGCGGCCATTTTTAATTCTGAAAATCACTTTGCTGTCATTGCAATATTTTTAAACAATATTAAGCTGCCATCCCGAAGGTCTTACGTTGACTAGAGTGAAGTGAATAATTATGTAAATCTATCTTCTGGGAGAGCGAGTAGTTGTAAGACAATAAATTTTGTTCTGTTTGTTCAGTTCTAGTTGGACAATGCTGATTACGTAATGAATGACGTCATAATATTTATAATTATTAGCGACCCGTATTAGCTTTGCACATCATCATCATCGATATTAATGTCCCCACCACTAGAGCATGAGCCTTCTCCGTGGAAAAATCATATGTAGGTTAACAGGCCATAAATTACCTCTCGGCTCCAGTTCGGATTAGTGGGTGTTAACGACTGCACATGGACTCAGGACAAACGGCTTAACGTGCCTTCCGTAGCAAGGAGCTCGAGACAATATATTCTCGGTCACCCATCGTTTAACCGGCCCTTGCGAAAATGTTAGTCTCCGCATCGCAGACCGAACACACCAAACACTATGCCAACGAGTCCACTCCTAGATAAGCCGGTTTGACATGTTTCCTACATATCCGACGAGCATCATTATGTTTTTTTCTAATTTAAATAAAACCAAAATATCTATTCTCTATGATAGAAGATTAAAAAAGGTGGCATAATTTAGAATTCACTACGAGAAAACACGACTGAGAGTAGGTATCACTTTTTAACTTCTCTTATAATTATTACAGTGTAAACTCCTTGTTATATCACAAACAAGTTATGACGGCACCGTTTCTCCTCGATTCCCGCCTGTGTGCCACGTGCCTCAGCCAAGAGGTTATGTAAATTGTTTAACGAACGATGCCGTTACGGCCCTCGACGGCGCACTTAAAGCATTAACATTTTAAAGCGTTATTTGCGCTAAGCACACAATTACTTGTACATTTAAACTGATTACGGGCCCTCGTTTAAAAGAGGATTCACATTAATATATTCTAATTAGTAGTTCGCTCCGTCATCTGGGTAGGTTGTTGTAGTTTATGCTTACTTTTGTGTCTTACGTCTTATGGCGGATGCGGCGCCCGCTCTCGCATAATTCCTTACGCCTACAAGCTTTGTTGCCACTCTGTCAACAACGCCGCTTCCATTAGAGTTTTGCTTTTATTGTTGTGCCTTCTTGTTGTACGAGTTAGCTACAATACACAAAAAGTCTCCATGAAAAGATGCAAGCTCTCCCTTATATTTTCGTGCTAATGAAAATTATATTAAAACTTCTTCGCATATTATATGTAATTACATATATTTTGTAACAAATTCAATCCATCACTATTGAGAAGGTCCAGGCAGTCTCCGGCTCCGAGTAAAAAATCAGATTAGAATACGTGCAACACAGAGCACGTCGATGTCAATCTCTTACTAAACCTAGTCGCGACCTTAGAACGAAAGATTTCCCTTACGCGAGCTTTGAAATTCAACTGCGAGTCGAAAAATATCATCAAGTCAAATAAGAAGTACGTTATTTTATGCAGCAAAAATGTGAAGCAACGGCGAATGCCTTAAAACTGATGTTTGATGGACTGATGTCCGGGACGCTGAAATGAAAAACAATTTGTTTAAAGGTTTCTTTCGTATGTTATATGTGACACTTATGGCGATATTGTTAACACTATTCACCGATTATATTACACCATTCACACATCTATAGAGGGTATTGTCATTGAAGGCAGTTGCAACAACTAATTGCGGCCTTTATCCAGACATCTTTTGCGTGGTATATTTCATTAATCCTGTTTCATGAATTTTTCAAGTATATTTTTAAATTGGTTTGTGGGGTCTACGTTGAAACTACATCTGCCCGTAAACTACTCCAAATTTCTACCACTCTGTTACTAAAAATGTTGTGTGGATTTTTTATGGTTGACGCATTTTTGACGACTACATTTAAAAAATATTTTTAGTGTAGGAAATGAACTTTTTATTGCGACTATTATATACTTACTCAACAAAAAATCTATACACCAAATATTAGAAAACAAACATGTCCAATTGGAATTGAGGAATCATCAAAGAAGTAAATAATATAAATTACATCCTAAATCAAGAACAGTTATATCTTCATGTAACCTTTATCGTGTAGATAATGAATATATAAAATTTTGCTTTGAATGAAAGCCTCACGCCCGCATGAGGTGTTTCCACGTGTGTTGATCGCACAATTTAAACATTCATCCGTACGAAGCAAAACGGTGGAAATTAGGGTATCCAGCTATGCTCTGATGAACGGGATTTGCTATAGACTTAGGAGGGTGTGTAATTTTAAACAGATTTTGTACAAAGAAATGTTTAGACGAGATTTCTGTTATAAAATTTGAGAAAACTGCTATTTCTAAAGTTTGTTTCATCCTCTAAACGTGAATTTGTGAAATTTTCTCGATGGAATCAAAACACAAAGGTATCCCTAAAATTCATTTTTTGGTTGATGGGAAAAGAAAAGAAATATAGGTATAAATATGTAGGCCAAAGTGGCTTCATTCTGAGGCTTCATGTAACACTTTTACAATAATGGTAACGGTTGGCGAGTAGGTAAGTAATTAAAAACGTGAAATACGGCAACTCATCTTATCTATCTACGTTATTGACAATTATTTCGATATCGTGTTATTTTTTTTTAGTCAGAAAATTACATTACATTAATATACAATTAGTAACTTGAATAACAATGTCTTGGTTATATTACTTACCTACCTAACAATGTCTTGGTAATATTTTACAATTTACTCACTAAGTCTGTATAGATAATAATAGAAAACCATTATAAACTAGACCTTGAATGTTTATTAAAGTTAATCGAATTACGGCATTGTGCTACGTAGACGCCTATTTCATTTTTACACTTGGTCTATGTATCTTTTAAATCTAGTTTGTCTATGGATTTTGTAGATCCGCCGCCATTTTAAGGGCATGAAATATTTGTAACAGACGGCCCAACTCCGGCACCTTTTCAATTTCGGTCGGCTCGTGCCCTCGGGGAATCGAGCTGAATTTTGTGTGCGTGAAACGCCACATTCCCGAAAGGATTTCGTCTCTCAAAGTTTTATTACATTCTGACTAGATTTTGACACAATCTTCGCAGATGCAATTATATTGCACTATGTAAATGATGTTTTCCAGAATAAGTATGTAAATTACTTCACGTTGTCACAGGAAGAGATCGGTCGGTTTTAGGTGCGATATTTAGGGCAGAGTTTAAGCAACTTTAGCGAGATCTGTTATCAGCAGCGTTATTACTAAAAACACTGTTAAGGTTAATCAAATAAAACTACATCAAGAGGTATTAAAGGTTTTATTTCATTGAAGCTCTGTGTTGTTACAGCGCTAAGCTCAGCGTTGTTTTCGAGAATAGCATAAGTATAGGTCAAAAAATAGGTTATCTCAAGTTTGTAAGGCATGTTAAGCCATAGGTATCAGCCGCATGTGCAATTATAGCATCCACCAGCACACCGGGCCCCCGTGCTGTGACCTGGACCTGTCTCTCTATGTGTATTCCTATCCTAAAATGTATAATATTATTCAATAGTTAGATCAAATTAAAAATCTGTTGGGATATGAATTAAGATACATATTTGTCTGTAGTTATATGTTGCCTGTGTCTTGTTTTTGCTGCATGACAAGTGGGGCTCGTGCCGTTTCATGATTCTTCAGGTGCAACTGATAACCAGTATTTTATTTCCCGAGCAAAAATATCACTATTTTGTATAGTTGCGGAACACACTATGCGAGGAACATTAATACCATCAACGTCTTGTAATAATTATTTTGTATGTTTATTTAACTCAATATTAAATTTGCGCTTTCCACGTTCATTTCTATTTTACAATCGATATTTGTATGCACGATGGCGAAAATACTTTACGGTCTGTACCGACCGGGTCGCAGTCGTAAATTCACGGTTAACCCCGTGTGACGCGAGCACTACATATTTCAGGATCATACGAGGGATCCATGCCACCGGACTTTTGGCGGCACACAATGCATCTACATACGGTGGCCGATGCAAATAAGATAGACGAACGAGAATACTATATGCTTTCGCTGCATGAATTTTTAAAATTGACACTGAGCGAATGACTTTTTTTAGTTAATATTTTACAGTAGGTATTTTATCATCTACCACAGAGTCGAAAATTGTAAAAGAATAACTTAGAATTTAATCTTTACACGGTCATAAGGACACTCAAAGGTTTTATAATTGGATTAAAATGAAACTCTTTTGTGATAGCTCAAAAACAGAAAGTGTCTTTCTCCAATTTATTTAAACCCTAAATTACATAAAACCAAATTTCGAAATGAAGGAATTTATTACTTAGTAGTAACCTTATTCAATATACGAAATAATTGGTTTCAATTATTTTCAATACAAGCTGGTAAAAGTATTATTATTATTAAAAGTATTTTCTCAATTTTGTTAACAGAACGCAAGCTATTCGTGGGTATGCTGAACAAAAAGTTGTCGGAGAACGACGTGCGAGCGTTATTCGCTGGGCACGGCGCCATTGAGGAGTGCACGGTGCTGAGAGACGCCCAGGGCCAGAGCAAGGGCTGTGCCTTCGTCACCTTCGTGTCGAAGCAGGCGGCCATCGCAGCCATTAAGGTGGGCTATTCATTCGTCATAATCATTACAACCAGTAATAAATTAAAAACTTCTAATCGCTTATATCAACTCAATATTCGCATACTTTTTTAATGATGTGAAATGCATGATTTTTGGAACATGTTCCCTATTTTTTTATTCAATAATTATACATTTTATTATTCTAATTTGCATTTATTTAATACGAGCTTTCCGTCTGCGAATACGCCCGATACTCAATTTTCATTAAAATTAGTATTACCGAAACTTAGTATTCATGATAGATATTTCTTTGTTAGCAATTGTAATATATTGTGTATGACTTGCTTCTGCTTTGGAAATTATTCTTTAAACTGGCATGATAATGAATATGTAAATAACAATGTATATTAAAAAACCGCGAATTCCGCATACCCAGCAAATAAATCTTAAATCTTTTCCACGTATCAAAAATACTCAATACCCAAAAACAGAAGTATACTTCAAAAGTTTTTCTTAAAATAATCCAATTTTAAACTTTAGAATAGTAAGCTCGACAATAGAATGATGATTGGTACTAAAATAAAGAGAAATAGAATTTTTGTCCGAAGCGCGTAAATAACTCAATTGGGCACTGGTATGATCATTCATATGTATGTATATGTAAAAACTTTTTACATATACCCAATATTAAAAAAAGATCATTTAACTTATTCCAGGCGCTCCACCATAGTCAAACTATGGAGGGCTGTTCCGCCCCTCTAGTAGTGAAATTTGCGGACACACAAAAAGAAAAAGAACAGAAGAAATTGCAAGCGATGCAAGCTAGTCTATGGGGTCTGACGACGCCAGTCGCGCCGACGACAGCGTACCTTGCGTCAGAGGCGGCGCTATCGCCGGCGACGCAGCTACAGCTGTTGCAGCAACTGCAGGCAGTGGGGCTGCAGCAGCAGCTCTTGCAAGGGCAGGGGTCGACTCTTTTGCAAGGTATAGTTTACTTTTCGCCGTTTTTTACTATCCTTCTAACTTTTTAAGTCTCCTGAGACGCAATCAAACCGAATCGAGTTATGGCGCCCACCGTGGTACTTTTCTTAACTTTATTTTTTATCGTGATTATATATTTTTGGTGAAAATGTTTTCTTATTTATGATTATTATAGAAAATTGTCAACGCTACGGATGTTTTTTCTGCCCATATTTTCTATAAGACAATTTCAGTGAGAATGCAAAAATTATCACATTAATAACTTTCCTGTTGTAATACCTAATCATTAAATTCCTTAAAAAATTACTTACATGTTTTATAGCTTATTGTTGTCAAGTTATGGTTACTTTTTTGTTATATACTATATTATTAATTCAATATTATTTATTTTTTGTTTATATGTTGTTTTTTTTTTTTGTTCTGTTTTTCTTTCTTTATTTGAGTTTTTTTTTTGTTTGACGTTTCGTTTATCTCCTTTCATAGGTGTTAACTACCAAGATATCGGTTTCAATGGCGCAGGGCTGTCGGGCGGTGCGGTATCCGGCGTGGGTGGTGCCGCGGAGCAGTTGGGCGGTTTATTGGCCCCGGTGTCGGTACAGAACCTGGCAGCCCTGGCGGCCATCACGCAACCACCGGTCGTCACACAGCCGGCGCCGATAGCGCCCGCCGCGCAACCGCAGCCGGCGCCGCAGTTGTGTAAGCTTTAGCCTTCTCTTAAAAGCGATTAGATTCCTCTAACTTCTCCGTGCGAGTAACGAGTTTGAGTTTACACTGTATATTTTAAAAATTTTGCGTGTAGTAAATTATTTAACTAGCAGTCTTTAATAAAGAATATGTGTGCAAAAAACGGCAAGAGTTAAAAGTGTAATTTAATGAATTGATTCGTGTTATTAAAAGCAGACCGAGTTTAGCATTATTAATTTATGCAAACTACAAATCTGAGATCACTGTCATGTACTTAAATGTGATGATCCAAATTAAGGTTAAAAATCGAAGTAATCTTTGGTATTCAGAGACGAAGTTACTAACAATAGTAACGATTAGTTTTAATTCAATGTAAATATAGACCTATTGATATTGGGTAAATTTATTCATACCTTGTAACGAAGGAGAGGTAGAGAGAAAAACAGAAATAGATCAGAAAGAATAGCCTACAGTACAAATGGCGGGCTTCACTCGCCTGGTGCAAGCCAGGGAAGTACAAACGAAGCTCGTCCGGACGCGCGATACGCCGCCGCCGCCTGAATCGGAACGTCCTCATTACGTATCATGAAAAGGATCGTCCTGGATAAAACTGCCATCCTTAATTGTCATTTCTTTTTGCTCTATTAACGACCGTCCTTTACCCAAATTCGTCCGCTGCAAGACAATTAAGCTCAATAAATTCTGTTGTAATTGCTCGCCCTGTCCCAATCTCTAATTGGAGTGTAGCACATCCACTACATAAGTTAAGCCATGGAAAATTGTAACGACCCGTTTTGTCCGCAAACTTTCCTATTTCAGGTTGGACTTATTATTGAGAAAAGTAAAAAAAAAAACAGGTTAATTAACGATGAACATTTTTCACACTTCAGGTCTTCTCGGGAAGACTAACATCACAGGTAAAATTGCAATGAAAACGAAAGTGTGTGTTACTTAAAATGGAATGACTTATATGGCTTTTGAAATTAATTTGTATTAAATGAAGCAGACACTTTAGGTTAATAAAGATATCTTAAGCTAATTTTCGTTGCGTGCGTGTCGTGTCTTGCCAATTTTTTGTAATAATCAGAAAAAGTTAATACTTATTAATAATCATATTACGAATAAATACTATTATGGTCCCAGGTGATACGTATCAAAGGACAATACACGTTTGTTATGACAAAGATGGCTGTCAGCTGTCTATAATAAAAATGGACAGCACCAGAGACCGTCCATTGTCTTTGGTGGCCGGAAATTAAAAATGGCGACACACGCACCAAGACGCGACACAGAACAAACTCGGAATAGTAATGAGAGTCGAAGTCTGCCTCCTTTAATACATGTATGTAGGTCCGGCTTGGTTTGATTTCTATGTTGGCAACCCGTATTGATACGCCTGCATCGCTTGATTGTGTATAGGCCTCTTTTTTTATCATCTCAACGACTTAACATCATAGACAACGTACGTGACGGCCTTTTATCCGCATTGTCGTAGTCTCGGGTTGGACATTTTGTTATGTTATTACAGTTTATCGTTTTTTTTTTAATATTCGTCTGCAGAGGTTGCTTTATCGTATTTTCCTGTTCGTGATTCTAACAAGATTGAAAATGTTATTTTTGATGTGTGTTCATTTTCGAGTTGAATAACTCTGTACATATAATTGTGACGATGTAAACTGCTTGTCATCGGTCAAATACTATTGCTTATATTATCGCTATTATTTATTAAAGTTTTATAACAGTTTTTATTTAAATTACAAGGAGTTTACATCTTTGTTGATTTAGTTCAACATTTGTTAATTTTCAACGTTTTCTTTTTGTATAGCCTTTATAATTATATAATCTTTGTCTTTTACGTTTGTATGTAGAATAAACATTAACCAGTGTTGCAATCTTACAAGCTTTCTGTGTTATTTTCACGATGTATTACAACGCTTTATAGCGGGATACATTTGTGGAAAGTTATTATACTGAAACTTGACAATTGCAATACGAAATTCTTTAATTTCGTGTTTTATTAACATTAATTTATCTACCTGCGTTAATTGTTTTTGCATGACAGTGCTAAAATAAGTGATATTGATTGTTGTCTCATGATACTCGTACGTGAATGTTTGTCGAGAATGTAAACGTTATAAATCTAACATAACCTAATTTAATATTTTTTTCTAATAGGAGAATTTTCAAAACATTATAATTAGCTTATACAATTTATGACTCAACATTAATTTATCAGTTTCTGTCTGTTATAGCAGTAATAATATTGTTGTAGGAACCTAATACCTTAATACTCTCGTTATTCGAGTTAGTACTTAGAATGTTACTTAATTCCGAATAGCAATCTTGAATACATAGTGAGAATTTACAATGAACCCCTCATGAGGTTACTATTTAAGGTTGTCTCCAATCGATTTTAAAACGTAAATTCAAAATTAATTATAGACATTTCGTCGCTTTTAGTGATTTGATGTGTGGTCAATATTTTAAAACAAAATTTGGAATATCGAGACATTTAAAAAATTACACAACGTCGTTTGTAATCGAACGGATCGCAGATAACGTATTTTCTCAGTGCAAACTTAGTATTTTAAATATTCAGTTGCATGTAAATAACGGCCTAATAGAAATGCCTGAAGTTCACAGTACAGTGCCACAAGTATAATTTGACAGTGGCATTGCGGTTAAGTCTCTTGCATCGTTAATTTTAAGTCCCCGGTAACAATTGAGGTTATCCCATCACTGAGCCGACGAATTATTTAATGAGCAAGACAAATTGCTACTTAAATCCAGTCGCCGAACAGAGACAATTTCATACCCGGCATCACATTACGTATATCTTTCACACGTGCGCAAAACATTTTGCTATTGCGCTCGCACAGATGCATACTAAATAGGGATGATGTCTGGGTAAAAATAAATAGATTCTCTTTAGTCCTTCAGTCAGATAATAGAAAAATATTAGATTCGTCGTAACAAGAAATATCTTAGATAACAAGAATTAAAGTTGTGAAGTGGGGGCTCATAGGGTCACAGTTATGTAGAAAATGTACAAAACATTAGTCCCCGAAATCAAACTAGATGTCGCTACAGTACGTTCTTGATTTTTCCATGACAACTTTTCCGGTGTTTTTTCAAGTTAAAAAGTAAATTAGTTTTCAAAACTCAAATAAACAACTCATATTCTATTTGTACTTTTGCGTATTTGTATTGATAGCTTAGTTCCGAACTTTTCAAATTTCAATTTTTTAATATGTTAGTTAAAAAGAACGGAAATGACTGTCTTTGGTCCATTCGTTTCCTGCAAAAATCGACTTTTGATAGAGTCAGCATCTAGTGGAGGTGCTTTTAGTGCCTTCTTTTTTTCTTAAAATACTTCATCAGATTACGAAAAAATAGAAAAATATGTTTCAAAAATCCAAGTGACCAAACCAAAAAATAATTGCCGTCGTCACTAATCTCTCTGTTCGGCGTCCGTGTAATAGGAATACAGTCGGGTGAATACGGGGCAGCGATGCCAGATTATACTGGTGGCACTGTATGGGGTGATATTATTAGTAGAATAAGAGAGCGTTTGTCTGATCGCGACGTATGATGACGCGGGCAGGGTCGACGGCAGAGCCGCTGGGGTCGGCGTACGCGGCGCAGTTCGGGGGAGCGTTCGCGGCCGCGCCGCTCGGCTCCGTGCTGGGCTCGGCCGCCGCCGCCGCCGCCGGGAAACAGGTCGAAGGTAACTAATTGACAGTGACGGTTTTGTTTAAGCACGTTTTAAAATTATGACCCGATTTTGGCCAATCATTTTTGACGATAGGATATTTCAATAATCATTTTGAATTATTCTTTATTGCGTAATAAGCGCGATATATTAATATTACGGGTAAATTTACTGTATTTATCAATAAAAATCAAAGTTAAAGTTTAATTTTCAAAAACGCGCGTAAAACGCTATTTTTGTCATATGTCGCCAATACGCCGCGTATGACGTCACACGCTAGTAAATAAACAAACCTCATCGTACTACAGGAAACAATATTTCCTAGAGCGTGACGTCATCGGAGTTGCAACGATTTACAGAGCGATTTCGTCTTAGATAAAGAATCAAAAATATTTAATTTACTTAGCGTTATTATTTCATTTAAAATAAAGTAAATTATGTGTTATTATTACGATATTATCTTATAGGATGATCACAATTTTTAATATAATCAATCACACATGTTAAAGAAAGGAAAATGAAAGAGAAACGGATGAGAAGATAAAGGCTCGTTTCTTGTAGAAACCTATAGGTGGGTCATACACGTTTCTATAGACCCTTCACCGTTCCAATCATATTTCACAGGAAAATACTTTTCACGGAAAACTTGAAATTAAGGTTTTTTTTTGTAAATTGGCATTATTTCCTTTTCCTTATATTAAAAAGCAGCTTGTTACGCAGGTCCTGAGGGTGGCAACCTTTTCATCTACCATTTGCCGCAGGAGTTCACCGACACGGACCTGGCGTCGACGTTCCTGCCCTTCGGTCACGTGATATCGGCCAAAGTGTTCATAGACAAACAGACCAACCTCTCGAAGTGCTTCGGGTTCGTTTCGTACGACAACGCCGCCTCAGCCCAGGCCGCGATACAAGCCATGAACGGCTTCCAAATAGGTACAAAGAGACTCAAAGTTCAATTGAAACGCTCCAAAGAACTATCGAGACCGTACTAGATATATTCCAGGGCGGGTTCCTAGTGTATACTATTTTTGTTTTTCCTTATTTTAATTATTTTGATGAGAAAAAAAAAATCGAAAAAAGAACTCTGCTACGAGGTTGTAAGATTCCGAACATTTGTTGTGATGTATCCGGTGCACGCGAACTGTATAATAAAAAAAGATATATAGATAAGGGTTCGACCGACGCGAGTGCACTGTTGTTAAATATACAATAAGTATATAGTTAAGGTTTGTGTCAAAGGATTTATCGTTTCCAAAGTATTCCCCAAATTGTTTATTATTATATTATTGTAATAATTATTTCTTAAGTTTTAGTCAATTTAAGGATAAGTTGTATGCGTTTAAATATAACATTTCGTGGACGCCAAAGAAGCGGTATCGGAATATTTTACTGTGTCATCGTCATATATTTTAACCGTTTTCGTTTCGATAGAAATGACAAATATATTTTGTTTACCCGTCTCTGTTATAGATACGAACTGTACCAACTTACCGCATAAGTATTGTTTACATTTTAATTTTAACGTTATGTTCAAGTAGAACAACATTATATTATTATAGTAAGAAATCTTTTTATTCTCTTTTGTTAGTTTTTATTTTTCTTCATTATTTTGTGTTACCATAGTTGATTATGATTTAATGAAAATGTGGCCATTGTCAGTTCAGTCTTTAGTCTGTTTTTGTTTGTTTTAAAATTTTAAGATGTTTAGAATTACGAATCGATCTCAAAGTGATCAGTATATTGATTGTTCACCTTACTTGTTGTCAATAGTGTACTTAAATTTTTTTTAATATATTTACTGTGACCATAATTGATTTTTATATATCGACCGTATAGATATCTCGAACGATTCTCTTTAACATACATATCATTATTATTCTTATTTAATTAAAGCCTAGATCTCAATAATAAAAATATTGGAAGTAATTCAAACAACACTTGCACACATATTTTTCACAAGTCCCGAGTTATTTTACGAAAATGATGAATTACCATCGATTCAGACTTTTTTCCGCTGTATTAGTTGATAAAGCGGATATATTAATTTTTAAATATACGAATAAACTTCCGATTACATAATGTCAGCTTCTGTTAACTGAACAAACAGATTGTATAATGATATTTTCAGTCATTTTCTTTGATTATCTCAAAACAGTAATAGGGTAAAACCGTTAAACATAGAACGTTAGGGATATCTACACATATTTCGTTTGTACTAATTAAAAAATTTATTACATACTTAAAGCAATTCAATTAAATTTTCTCTCAATTATTGTAACACATCGAACACTGGCCCTTTAGTCAAAAATTTTTTTTTAGCGTTTAAGTATTTAATAAATATGAAATATTCACTATTTTCGTAAGTTTTAGGTACGTGTTATATGCTTACCTACTTAAATGATAATTTTACTGGTATATATGTTCACAAATATTTTCTTGTAGACTCTGGCACGTTGTTTCACATAATTTTCTAGGTCGCTACGTAGACGAAAATCGAACCAAAGTCACAGTTTTATTCATAAAAAAGATATTTAAGAGCCGCCCACTACAGACTTTATTTTACTGCAAATGATTTAGTTGGACTTATAACCGAAATAAGAACCGTGCGAAAATGAATCGTTTCAACGTGCGCACTTTTATGTATCTTCGCACTAATTAAGAGGCCGACTAAATCATCAACCCATTAAATCAGTGTAGTCTGCGGAGCCATTGAAAAGTATCCTCAAATTAAATTGGTAAGGTTTTTAAAATAATTACAAGTTGAAACAAATGCTTTTTATACACATCTTACAAATTAGATAGCAAATATTTTAATAAATATTAAAAAAAAGTTTTAATTAAGCGTAAACCCTATTTCTTGGATTCCTAATAAAACGAAACGCTCAATATATAGAAAAAGAAAATTTAAATTCTAAGGATATTTCTAAAATGAAAAAAATGTGTCTTTATATTTAAACTCCCCTCTGTTTTCACGTGAAAAAAGTTACAATATAAAAAAAATTACGATAACACGATTCCGTTCTCTAACTATTGTGCCAATGAGTTCAAAGTTCGACACGATAAGTCTGATACTTACGACATTTGTTGTGCCATCTGACATGTCTTTTAATGGTGAACGTTCACTAGCGCGTATCGATCGAAATCGCAAGGCATACACAGATGCAGTGAGTGCTATACTAATTAAACTATTGAAAATCCATTGCGTTTCGTTATGCGTGCGTTGCTATCGATCTGGGGGCCAATTCTACTAAATAAATTTTGTTTAAATCGAATCGAAAACGAACAGTTTTTAATGGTTTTCCTATTCTACAAAGCGACATAAAATACAATACCAGTTCTATTTTAGCTGGAATTGTATCGTATGTCACTTAGTAGAATAGAAAAACCATTAAAAACTGTAGTTTCGTTCGGTTTCGATCCGTTTTCGATTCGATTTAAACAAAATCTATTTAGTGGAATTGGCCCCCTGGGCAGTGGTGGTCAACAAAAATAAAGAAATATCAAACGGACCCATAATTTATGAACTAATTATTTACTTTATCTGTAAACGAACTGATGTAGAGATCATCAATTACTATAAATTTAGTTGAGTATTATATTCTATTAAAAAAAAACATACATTATCAATATGAGTTTATCGATTATATTTAGTTTAATTTTTAAATCATGGTTTTATGTCTGATGAAAGACAATATTTAGACTGAATAAGTTCCCAAATAGATGTTATTCAGTGCAAGTGATTCAATTATTTGTGATGTGCAAGTAATTCAACTTTTTAGTGTTCATAGTGGACCTATAGTGAGCTGTGCTGAGAACAGCTTTTTTGTCTTTTTCTTTTGTCTTGTTGTAAGATATAAATTATTAAAAACGGATGTATTGTTATTGAACTAATTTTGACATTGGGAATATATATAAGAGCGCTTTCATACATTGGCGTTTAAGTCGATTGTAGCCCTTCAAGTCACGCGACCAGCAGACCCATTCTGATAGTGTTTACGTAATAAGTGCATCTCAGTAGAATCTCAACGAGCTGCATTTTACCATTGTAATATCTACCTGAAGTCCAATATAATTAATGCAGTTATCCTCCCACATCAATGGTGACAGATATGTATATAATTACGTAGGACTTCAGGTAGATAGTAGATACAGAAGTCGTTGATTTTATTGAGATGCGATTATTACATGTACATTAACAGAATAGGCATGCTAAGCATTTGTAGGTCGAACTGCAAATGTAGGTACTATGGTGGCGGGAACAAAACGCCTATATGTGAAACCGCTCTGAGGATGAAGACGCTACAATCCTAGACACGACTGCGAGGTTACCTTTTAAGGTGTGATCTAGATGTTGAATTAAAATTAAGACAATTTTTTACCTACATTTTCTAGGTATATCTTAGACGAGAGACCTGAGAACCTCACCGTTGTTGTTGTGTTAAAAGCCAAGGTGTATGCCTAGTGTTTGATACATATTTGGATTAGCTTCCGAAATGGTAGTAACTAATTTACTGCAACGATTTCGCCGTGATGGTGCTTATGTGCATTTGTAATTTCCCTCGCCAGGTTTCACCATAAATACAATGTACAATCAATAATAGAAGTTCAGAAATGTGAAAATGTTTAATATTGCTGATTGTACTAAGTAAACGGAAATGTTACCAATAATGTCATCTACCTGGTTCGATTGTGTGATATGATGCGAAAAAAATTACAAATATTAAGCTTTAGTACGGTTGCAAATTAAAAATATGTATTAAATTTTGACATTAAGACTCGTTTCGACTATTTGACAATTGAGTAAACAATTGCTAAAGGTTATTACATATTTTATATACGACTGTACTATTTTAAATACAAGCATGCTGTATTAAGTTTGAATTGTTGACCAAGAATACGAGATATAAAAAAAAATAAAACTTAAGATGTTAAATACTTGACATTTTTGATAACAAAATCATAGACAAACGAGTAAAAGGTCTGCTAAAACTTCGGTCAACAATTCACAGACTAAATTAAAATTAAAAAATGTAATGGCGGAACACGAGTCACGGAAACTACCGACAAACCAGCAATCCTGATTATGGAAGCAAATTTTATTTTTACACAAATTCGAGGCACCCTATTTAGTAGGTATACAATTGGTATGAAGTAAATAAAAAGAACTGTTTTATACAACACCCGTTTTGTTGATATGAATGTAAATAAATGTCAAGTTAAAATATCTCTTTTCTTTTACCTCTTACGCTGCACCCCATCAATGTTTTTAATAAACAAGTTTTAGCGTTGGATTAAATTTACGTTGTGACTGCACCTAGTATTAGTCAAAATTCATATTTAAACAGAGACTTAGCAAAGGTTATAATAATAAAAGAAATATTTAATTCTAGAAAGTTGGTTTGCTTATTCTCAGTATAATACGAATCTGGACTAATACTAAAACTACAATTTTAGCCTTAAATTAACTCTGACGCTAAACCTTGTTTATTAAAAGCACTGCATAGGTATAAGTTGCGCTATCTAAAAAAATCTTTAACATCTTTGAATTTTTTTTTCTGTAATCCATAAAATATGTCGGTGCAGAGATAATATGTGACACCACACTATTGTAGATTTCATAAAGAATTCTATATTGTTATGCATAAATCTTTAGTAGTCTAGATGTTATAGCAAATAATGCATCAAATTCCATCTTTTAAATTATAATACATAATAATTGAAAGAAAAAAGAAACACCAAATCACAATCAATACTTTATTTAACAATTAATCATTACCAATCTTTGGTAAATATTTTTCTTTCGTTTCGCTTTCCTCATCATCTAACTGTGATTCCACCAAAGTATCTTGCTTCTTTAGAATCGGCTTTGGCAACTTTATCAGACCATTTTCGTCGGCTAAAGGTAATATGTCGCATATTATTTTGGACTCCACGCCTAAGATATAATGACAGGTCCTCGGCTCCAGCAAGTAAAGTGACACTTGTGCAGGACTCGATGAGTTTTCAAAGCATTTCAACTTGACTTCGGTCTGTCTCGGCTTTCCGGTTTTATCGCAAATGTCGCCGCCCGAGTAAAAATGGGATATTGAGGTTCTTTGTTCTGAAAAAAAAATAAGCATATTTCAAACAAACAAAAAGAGAACTGTATTTAGTGTCCCGTATCTGAAACGAAAAACGTAACCCTTTTGAATTACTCCGTTTGTCTGTCTGTCTCTGAATCCGTCACAGCCGATATTCACCGAAACAACTGGACCGATTGAATTGAATTTTATTACATGTACGCAAGTTAGTGATCCAAAGATAGCCATAAAACCTGTATAAGTAAATTTAGAAACAGCGACATCTTTTGGGGGCAAATTGGAAATTACAAAAAGTTTTTAAAACTTTATTTTATGACAGATGTCACAAATAGTATGAGAAGTGAAATATTTGATTGTTTATTTGCATCGAACAGACACAACTGAACTGATTTTAAAAATTCATTTACCTACGGGAAACTGTATCATGCGCCAGTGTCATAGGCTATAATTTACGCTGGCGAAGTTGCGAGAAAATGGACTAATTATAAAGATATAATTTTTTGAATAAACAAATAATTTATGAAACTAGACAAAATTTTATCATATAATTTCTGAAACTACAGAACTTTGCCCAAGTTTTCTGTTTATTTACTTCTAATACTAGAAGTAAATAAACAGAAAACTTGGGCAAAGTTCTTTTACAAACATTTTATATACTTTTACATAGCCAAGGGGAAATCACTGTGAAAATCATGAAAGTACGTCGTAATTTATTTACAAAAAAAATACATCTTTTAATTGATTTAATATTATTTGATAAAATATTCAAATTTCCACTATTTTGTAATTTTTCATCTTACCTACTGGCTTCGGAGCTCTTCTTTTGTTTTCCTGGATCCACTCGAGATGCGCCTGCTCATCGAATTTCCCCAAAACGAGGGTAGTTTTCTCCCCACCTCGTCCCACGTGGTACTGTAAGATATGCTTACCGTAGCAAAACTCGTATTTCCACCAGCCGGTGCCCTGGTGAAAGTGAAATAAAATATTTCATACAACTATAAAAAAAACGACCAAGTGCAAAATTTCAACTGTAACTTTCACGGTTCAAGAGATACAGCCTGGCGACAGACAGACAGACAGCGAAGACTTGGTAATAGAGTTCCCGTTTTACCGTCTAGTTACGGAATTCTAAAACGAATATTAATGAGATAAGACAAAATGACACCACCTTGACATAATAAATAAACTTTCCTGATTTACAACACCGAATCTACATCTTATATAAGAAATGCCTCTTTTCACTGCACTTAGGAAGTACTTAACCTAAATATTGAGGGAGCGCCTAAGGTAAAGCATGTCTTACCAATAATAAGGAATCACCTAACGACATTAAGCAATGCCTAAAGTTATGATATGCGTTGTGTGGCCACCCTAGATCTGGGCTGAAATAACCGCACTTACCCCATTCAAGCAATGTTCTCCGTTGAGGAAAGCTCGTACGGGCGAGTCGTCCAGCACAGGGGGGACGGGCTTTTCCAGCGGCGCCGCCTCCGGTAACTCGTCGTCTTCACTCAACGGATGCAATTCGAACTTCAAATGGGGCTCGCCGTCCTGGAACACATTCGTAACGTTATACACGTTATAACCACAAAATCACCCATTTATGTACATAAGTTATATCATTCTACATAAGTTATATCTTCATTCTATTCATAGGTATATTCAGAATATATTGTTGAATATGTATTTGATCCTAATATGAGAAGAGAAAGTTAGACGTCTTAAAAATTAGTAGTTCAGGAGCAAACTATCCCACCTGACACTGGAAAGCCCCTTAATAACACCTTTGTCATGCTTGAGGCACAGCACGTGTAGATGCCATTGCATAGGGAGAATAGGCCATGACCTATATATTTATGGTGCATTTTACCTTTATAGTATCTGAAGTCCAATATTATTAGTGCAATGTCTCCCTCACAAATCAATGGTGACAGATATATAACAATATTGGACTTCAGGTAGATAACACAATGGCAAAATGCAACTAGTTGAGATTTTATGTAGCGGTAAGCGACTCGTTTTGGTCACCCATCCTATGACCGACCCTTATGAAATATGCTTAACTACCGCATAAAAGCCGAATGCGCCAACGAGCTAACTATGTAGAATGATTCTATAAGTTACACCGAGTTGTCTCATTTTTAAATGTCGAAACAGTTTAGCCTTTCATAAGTGGGATATTACGATTGGCTTCATAAATTACGATTGTCTAAAACTGCAGAGCGATTCTTTAAAAAATCCGAAACCTATTGATTCCATTTTTTGTATAAAAATACAAAATAAAATTGATACGTATCTCAGATATTCTATTTCTATGTCATTTCGAAACTCACTTCACTTATGCCACGAAACATTACCAGTTCTAGATTGAGCGGATGCCGCTTTTTGAAGCGAATTCGGAGACCTGAGTGAATTCGAATTCTGGTTTGGATTTTTACAGTGCCGACAGTTATTTTGTACGCAAGCCGTGTTCATTAGCAATTAGCTGATGGTGCGATGTTTGCGGCATCGCGACAAGTACAATCAGCGTCATAATTATTGACAGACTAGGTCTATGGTCTGTCTGGTAATCAAAAAGATGTCAAGTACACGAGTTCAATTTTATCTAAGCAACAAAAGTTGACTATTATATTGCAATACGCATAGTGTTCATAATATTTCGGCATCATTTCTTCAAATTTATCTACTACTCGGATTCCATGGGCTTTTGTTAGTCCTCTTTTTCGCACAGACGAATTTTGTCGATGTCTATTATAAACATGGAACTAGGTAAAATAATGTTCCGAGCGAAATTTTATTGATAAATATTTTTTTCGTAGTGTATGACAACAAATACCTAATTGCTATAAAGAGATGATTATTTTAAGGATCGCAATGCGTGGAATTAATTGCCTTCGCTTTGTTCTATAACGATTTATATATACAACCTATGACCTACAGACCTTGAAAGTTTTACTTATTATTACGATAATACATATTATTTTGGTAATGACATGATTTGTGTAAATGTCATTACTTATGATAAAGAGCTGGTAAATTTATTTCGCTTGTTCTTCTTATCAGCTAAAGGACGTCCTGAACAAGTGATAGGGGAAAAATTTTTTTTTGACGTGGATACGTCTATGTTTTCGTTCTACAGGGGGGTCATTCTGTGAGCAGGAGTATATGCACTAACGCCATCTATTGGCGTATAAGTGAACTATGCTTGCTCTGCAGGGGGAGGGGCATTCTGTCAGCAGGAGTATATGCACTAACGCCATCTGTTGGCGCTAGTGTATACTTTTTTCATTCAACAAATGAACGCAACGAATATTTATTTATTTAGTGTTTAGTGTCTTCAATTTGTTTATTAATTTTTTTTTTATCAATTACTCATATATCCATTCATACATAGACGTATCCACGCATAAAATATGGCTGTATCAATGATACAGCCAACCAGGGATTTTTTTTTTTGGAATTTTTTTTTCCAAAAAAAATTTTCCTATTTGAATTAAGATAATTTCATTTCATTTCTATATATCTGAAATCTATCGCAATCCCTTCAATCAGACATTTGAAACATATACAGGAAACTTAACCCTACAACTATTTGACATGTGCTAGCGATTTCAATCCGTTTAGGCGCGATTGGTACAATTCGCGATTGGGCCAATCGTGAAAAAATTACAAATTCGCGATTAGTCCAATTCGCTGTTGGGCCAATTCGCTGTTCGGCCTCTGCAATCGTTTCACTTTTTATTATGTTCAAATTATCATCCGTTACAAAGCGATACAACTTTAAACGTTATATAATTCCATAAACCGCTATCACAATTGCTATACGTATATGTTGAAATATGATAAGTCGCCGACAATTTACTATACGTGTATTTTTACTTACAATAGCGATGATGACTGGGTAAAAAAAATGCAATTCTATTTAGTTCGTCAGTCAGATAATAGAAAAATATTGGATACGTATTTTTTTTTTACTTCAATTTAACAAGAAATAGTATAGATAACAGGCATTAAAGTTGAGGAGTGGGGGCTCGCTACGTCACAGTTGAGTAGTGACGTCATGCGAAATTTCAACTTAATGTAACGCCGTAATTTTATGATTACGAAAAAAATAAAAAAATACGTGTTTAATATTTTTTAACACTACCTGACGGACAAACAAACAAAAATTAGTCATCATCCCTATTGTTTAATTGGTATATCTATACATATACACTTACCGGTACAATACATAAAACTACAAATAAAAATATGCAAATAATATACAGTGCAATTATTGCTATTCAAAAACACGACATAATTACCTTATCGATTTGTTCAACTTTCAAAACTGCAAACACATCCTTCGGTTCCTTATCCTGAGTGTCATGCCAATAAAAATGTTAATGAAGCAACTAAAAACTACACTACAAAAATAAACAAGTGTAATTAAATAAAATATGCTGATATTGTGTGATAAAATTATCAAATGGAGAGCTTGTTTCGCGACAGACTACTTATGTCAATTACATTATTATAAGGCTAGGCGCGCACTGGTGAATTTTTGTCACCAAAACTTTATGTCTCCTACGCGTAGCATGATAAAGTCAAGAATCGCTTTGTCTACAACCAATGTGATTTTTTACGGTGGAGAGTGAGATATAATATGGACACACCCGAGAAAAGTGACATTTAGGTGTACATGACATTTTAGTGGGCAAAACGTTCTCGAGTATGTCATGCTACAGTGCTTGAGAATTCTAGCAATGGTACAAGCACATGAACACATGACAATTAGTTGACTTCCACAGAAATGACAGGAGCAAGGTGAAAGTAACAATAAGTAACGATGACAAATATCACCAGTGTACGCATAGCCTAACTATCTACTCTAGCAAGACAAACCTAAATAATAATAAAAAAAACTTATATTTAGCAAAGAGTATAAAATACTTCACACGATAATCTAATAAGACAACTTACACTATTCATGTACTTGATAGTCTGATGCTGGAATTTTAAACTTTCCACTTCCATTTTCAATAAGCCTTGCGGTTTTTTGGGTGCGCCAGCTATCGGGAAACAATCGATAGGATTTTCACTGACATCTTTCAATTTGAATTGTGGATGTTCACAGAGCAGCGGAGACAAAATAATAATCTCATATTCACACGTTGCAGTTTCTTTGAACGAATACACTTCATGTTTTCCGTGAGAGTAACATACATATAATACTCTTGTCATACGAGGTTTCCCACTCAAATCGCAAACGGAACCTGAAAAATTTATTTCACTGCATAAATATTTAAATATCTAATACGTAATGGGTTGGGGGAAAAGTTAGGTATATTGCAGTTAGCATTTCAACTCTTTCCTTTGACATTTCTCACTTTCTTTCAAGCATTTTTTGCTTTGCTTAGATAATGCCAATGAGGAAGTTTTAAAAAAAAACGAAAGCACTAAAAAAGCACCTCCACTAGATGGCGACTAGCAAAAGTAGATTTTTTGCAGGAAACGAATGGACCAAAGACAGTCATTTCCGTTCTTTTTAACTAACATATTAAAAAACTGAAATTTGAAAAGTTCTAATCTTAGATATTAATACAAATACGAAAAAGTACAAATAGAATACAATTTATTGAGTTTTGAAAACTAATTTACTTTTAAACATGAAAGAAGAATGTCATGGAGAAAACAAGAACGTACCGTAGCGACATCTAGTTTGATTTCGGGAAATAATCTTTTTTTTAATACTTCCTCATTAACGTAAAATTTATGATATCGTTCACTCAATATCTTTAAAAAAAATGTGCAATCGCAATCGGTGTCACAAATCAAATAGCTTCAGTCTGAAATTCGTGAATATCTTTAAAATGTAATTTTAATTGAATAAAAGGGATTGTGTTTAATTTTAAAACTAAACAATTAGGCCCCTAATCAGGGTCTAATTAAATTCTCACACCAATCTTTATTATTGTTTCTTTAGCATTCAAATCATCATTTGTTCCAAAAGTGATTGCAAATTTAAAAGTTAAATATATAAAATAGGTATACATTGAAAGGAATTATGATAGATTTTAAAATAAGATAGCCTTTAAAATAAGCTAACCTGTCTTATTTAAAGATAGAGATATAAAAAACGTATTATATTATACGCAACTGAAAAGTGTTTTTTTTTTATCCCTGTAAGTCACGTGATAGGTTCATGAACACTTATTATTATAAAATTTCCCAAGCAAATTGTAATGTGTAAAGAGATGGTGAAAGTGTGAAATGAGACAAGATGTGGAAAGCGACCAAGAAACTAAATACGAGGGTCAAACTGAAAGTTCTTAGAACTGGCCACTTATAAACAATATAATAAAAAAATAATTCTAAAATTTGAAAATATAACTCTTTGCCAATATTACTGAGTATATATTTCATTCATTTGTCATTTGTTTTACGATTTGGCGGCAAATTGAAAATTGTCTGTGTCACGTCATCATGAATTTAACACGAGAAAATTTTCGTGCAATGATTTTTTATGACTTTCGATGTCATTTAAGTCAACAAGAAAGTTATGATAGACTACGATTGGCCTTTCACGATGAAGCCCCATCTCGTGCGACTGTTTACAACTGGTTTAATGAGTTTAAACGTGGTCGCACTAATCTCACTGATGATTTACGTGAGGGACGGCCTTCTACGGCGACGACTGAAGATAACATCTGTGTTGTGCGGCGTATGATAGAGACTGACAAAAGAGTGACCTATCAACAGATTCGGACAAGCTTAGGCATCGGTATGAGTCAAGTGCACAAAATCCTCCACGAACATTTAGCGGTCAGGAAGCTTTGCGCTCGGTGGATACCTCATAATTTGACTGAGGCTCAAAAACTCCATCGTGTGGATTGGTGTCTCAAGGTGGTGACTCAAATGCTGTGTTCGACATACTAACAGGTGACGAAAGCTGGATTTACTGTTATGATCCTAAAACCAAAAGACAATCTGCTCAGTGGGTGTTTCCTTTCGAGGAGTTGCCAACTAAAGTGAAGAGAGATCGAAGTGCGGGAAAAAAAATGGTGGCCTCGTTCTTTGGAAGGATAGGTCATTTTGCAACAATTGTGTTAGAGGATCAAAAAACAGTTTCTGCAGAATGGTACACTACCAATTGTTTGCCACTTGTCTTGGAAAAAGTTCGAGAGAAACGACCTCGCAGTAGGATCCTCCTTCACCACGACAACGCCTCGTCGCACACCGCCAAGCGAACGATCGACTATTTGGCGACATCAAACGTTGAATTACTGGGTCACCCGCCGTATAGCCCCGACCTCGCGCCTTGTGATTTTTATTTATTTCCAAAAATTAAAGAAAAACTTAAAGGAAAGCGGTTTATGAATGCTGAAGAAACGGTGGCTGCGTATCGCAATGCCATTGAAGAGACCCCTAAGGACGAGTGGGCAAAGTGCTTTTCCCAGTGGTTCCATCGCATGCAGCGGTGTATTGACGTGAATGGACAATATTTTGAAAAGATATAATAAAACTAATAACTGGCTAATGTAATCAGTTTTTGATTTTCTAAGAACTTTCAGTTTGACCCTCGTATAAATCTAATAGAATGCATTCACTTTGACATTCAAGGATCATGTAAATAACTAGTCATTGAAAATAGATAGTTATGATAACGGTGATTGGCAATCCAATAGTGATTGCATTTCCTGATTTAAAAATCAATAACATCTCATTGCTACTCACTAGAGTGTGAGGAGTACCCAAAACAATATAGAAAAACTAATTTTCTACATTGACCCAACCGAATCAAACCAAGGACCTTGGTTGCATTTATATCTGGACTTCAACCACTTTTGTTGACCTCTTACCAAATTTCTGTTAGACATACCGTCATCCATTGCCATTTCTACATAAGGTAAAGAGAGGCCATCCATTTTAATGGTCTTCGGTTTATCTTTAGATTCTTGCTGCACCTTTAGATCTTCTTCAAGTTTTATTTGCTTCTCAGGGCTCCAATATCCAAGATAGTATTGTTGTGTTTTGACTTGTTTACCTATAATATTCCAAATAGCATACATTTATTAAGAAATATGCGATGTTATGTACCTTTTAATTAGGTACTGAAAAATAAATTGTTTATATTTATTTTAATGAAATGTTTTAAATGTGATAAGAATGTATAAAAACTACTGTTGTGATATTATTCATAACTTATGAGGCTTCTTTTAAGAATTAAAACTTCTTTTTTCTGTTAAAAGTTACAGGTAATTTGTTAAAAATGTTCAACACTAAATAATCAATTTTATAATAATTCTTTCAAAGTCCTATCATATAAAATATAATTTTACCATCTCTTTCATCATGGTATTGCCTTATGTATCTCCCATGGCAAATTTCATAACTCCAGTAGCTCTCAAGTCTGTATGAACAAATCTTCTGAGCAAAAAGAGGTTTTAACAGATTTATAGGTGAAGGTCCATCATAATCTTCGATACTGTTTGCCTCTTTAGTTTGCGACTCTGGAATGTGACATTCATACTTTTCGTTTTGTGTTGTTGTTATTTTAAGTACTTCTTTTTTCTGGGTCTACAAAAAATAAACAAATTATATCACAATAATAAAGATCACAGTTTAGGAATACTACAATCATAACTGATATTCCATTTGTTCCATTAAATAATTTGAAATTACAATTATTTGAAATTACATTACAATTTCCACTGTATCCACTGTATTTTTAAAATTATGTGCTCTATTTGTTAACTTGGCTTTTTTTAAAATACTATAGCAAGGTATACCATCTGTAATTGATTGCATTTGTGATTTGTAAAATATATAATTTGTAAAAAAATTGTGGAAATACTGGTGTCAGTAGATAACAATTATCAACCCTAATCTTACATGAGTTTGCCAAGTTTTTGAAAGTGGAAACTTTGTTGTTGGAAAGCTGGTAATATACATAAGTGAGAAAATGTTTACTCCAGAAATAGTTAACATTCAGCACTAATAAAATAATAATAATAAAAACTCTGCAATTGTTTATAAAAATCAAACAAGTATTTTCAATTTTGATTACCAACCTGTGATTTATTAAGCTCATTATCAGCTAAATTCTCTAATACATCAGGGGCACCGGGCCAGTTTATTTTAAATAGAATTGTATCGTCAAATCCTCTTGAATCGTGTTCTATACACAAAGCAATTCCTAGAGCACAAACAGTTAACAGACAGATATGCTTCATTTTTATTTAACACACGCACATCTCTTAACTTTAATAATATTAAACAATCAAAACCACATAAAAGTGAAACTAATATCCAATCTTAGACATATCTGAACTAAATTAACATGACTCAATAATAAGACATATTGGCGCTAGTAGATTACGTAAATTTTAACTTGTACAGAAATGATCACAAAAATTGCATAGTTTTTAATTTATTTGTATAATATATGCTTGAGCTGGAAAGCAGTCATTCGATGACACTTTGGTTTTTTTTGGCATTAGCTACCATACAGCCACAGGCTAAGTAAACTATTTTTAACGTAGTTCAAAAATGGAGGTTATCAAATTTCTCAATTTATTACATTTTCCGTATTGAAATATTATTGGAATCACACAAATTAATTCCGAACATGTTTCTATACTTTTTATATAACTAAATGTTGTATTCAAGTTGTTCCCAAATTAAATGAAAAATTACTAAAGGTAGAAATTTTGAAAGGTAAGTTTTGAAAATAAATATTGCCGTCGTTAACATTCACCCATCCACATCGCTGGTGGGTTATATTATATATAATAATTCTCCTTAAGTGATTCTTTACATAGGCAATGCCTGTCTTACAGACTTCAAACAGCTAAAGCGTTGACGTTGCAAAGATCGGTTAGAATCAATAATACCTCATTTAGAATCATATGCATAATACTACCTAAAAATACTACGAAATGGAGTTGAAGGAACTGTTTTAACGATAAATAGTCGAAACCGTAACATATTTTCTTTCTTTTCATGTTTTATATCTTTTAGGTTTAAGCTACAGCAGCGCCATTTTGACAGTCGCATTCCCCATACTTGTTAAAAATACAACTAATAGCTAGGCTGTATGAGCTTAGAGCCCTTTGTTTTCAAGAAAATTACTACTACTTCCGTCTGTCAGTGTCATTTCAATATACTTTGTCAAAATGGCGTTTAATTTTCCTGCCTTTTCATACATTATTGCTCTTATTGTGGACGCCTTTCTCATATTCTTCTCTATATTTCACGTTATAGCATTTGATGAATTAAAAACAGACTATAAAAATCCCATAGACCAATGTAATAGTCTTAATCCGGTGTGTATTGACTTCAGTTCTAATCAGATACCTAACAGGGTGACATATCAGAAACGCTCATACATATATCTTTTCAGCTGGTCCTGCCGGAGTATTTATTGCATCTCTTCATTAACCTACTGTTTCTTTTATCGGGAGAATGGATATCTTTATTAATAAACATTCCGTTGATACTCTATCATTTACACAGGTAATCCTCTTCAGAGGTTATGATTTTAAAGAGAAACTGCGAATGCCTCTCTTAGCGTGCCAATTAAATAATTACTCGGACGATGTCAATAAAAATATATTTTTAGAGCTTAGAATGCCACCTCTGTTGTGTTATTAGATTCCTTTATGAATATAACACCCATTCACTTTATTTAAGATTAAATTTTAAATATTATTATTTAATTTAGCAGCATGTTTAATTTTATATATTAAGGTATATACCTTGTACATGATAATTTCAGATACTATACAAGGCCGGTGATGTCAGGTCCTGGTCTGTATGACCCAACAAGTATTATGAATGCAGATGTGTTGACCGTTTGTCAACGAGAAGGCTGGATTAAACTTGCATTTTACCTGTTATCATTCTTTTTATATCTATATGGGTAAGTTATATTACCATGTGTATATAATGGTTTTTTATCTGTACATAGATACTATAAGAGTTTCAAGGTAAAACTGATTATATGGAAGTCCTATATTTTTAATCATATAATCCTCCTTCATGGTTCAGAAGGCACATAAAGCCCATGTGCATCGGCTTGGTATCTGCAGTTATTAACCCATCAATCTACACTATAATAATAATAATATTTATTGATAATTCCATATTACAAAATTCTCTTATCCTATTTGGTTGTCACAAAAAGAATAGATTAGTTTTTATTGAATAAGAGGATAACGTTGACAGCTGTTTTAGTATGAACTGTGTCACAGCTGTCAGCGCACCCACCCAAGGTACATACATATTACAGGCATTTTTATTCTTAGAGAATTTGAAATAGTAATTATACTAAACCACAGTATTATTTTTACCATTTGTCCTAGCAGTGGGGATATTTGACATATCATTTGAATGGTTCCCTGAATAAAGGCTTATTATTATTATTATATTTGTGTGCTATTGTCTATAGATGCCTCTTTTATTATATAATAAATGTATATTAAACATTTAATGTTTTGTTTCAGAATGATTGTAGTGTTGATTGCTGCATGAGAGCAATGAAGTTGATACTCCATTTAAATCGTAATTTATTGTTAGTGTCCCTGTGATTCTAGTGTCAAGCGAACAAGTGGATTGTGAATTTTAGGATTGTGTGATTGAACAGTATTTTGGTAATAAAATTTCATATTTATTCAACAAAACTGCTTATTTCCTTCAATAAAACATTTTACTTCTTATTAAATATTCTGGTATATTGAAACTTATTTAGTTTAATAATTACTTCAAAAATATGTAATTTTTCACTGACAAGTTCAAAACACTGGTTAAGAACAACTGTTTTAGACACCCTGACACCGGTCTTGTCCAGGCTGTGCTCTGACAGGCCTCCAGGTTTCACTAGCATGCGTAGCATGATGAACTAGAGAATGTTTTATCTACACTCAAATGTCACTTTTCTCGGGTGCGCCCATACTATATCTCACTCTCGACCATGAGAAACTGATAAATGATAGTAGACAAAGCGTTTCTCGAGTTTGTCATGCTATGCGTGCAGGTTCACCTGATTTTTCTCCAGTCCTTTGGCTTCAAATCTTATATGATGATCTCTGTGTACAAACAAATGACAAAATTCGGTAATCAATAATGAATGTAATTGTTTACTTCTGTAAAAGATATAAAAGGTTTAAATTAAAATTTTGTGCTTTTGGTATTTGGTGAAAATACTATTCAGTGCATCTCTATTACATTTTTTCTGTAATTATGACTTGATGGATTACATGCGTTTTTAATAAATCCAATTTATTTGTAGATTGATATTTTAAATAATGATTATTATATTTACTTAATTGTTCTGTAATGATGACCTGTCATTTTGGTAGATACAGGCATTCATAAGTAACTGAAAGTCTGTAATTCCCAGATATGAAATATATTGAAAAATTGGGCAAGAGGGAAATAATAAATTTAGAAAACTACGATAGACTTCTTATGAGTGATAAGTTTCACTGTAATCTATATATAATATTTAGTTGATTTTCTTAAATAACTTATATATTTATATAAGCCCTTTTTGTTTTTCATCATAAGACATGATGTATCTACATATCGCAGCCAAGTGGCTAAATCAGCCGTCCAATTGGGCATTCATTCAATTGCAAGGCTGACCTTCGACCAGGCGAGTAGCTGAACACGTTTTACAGCCAACTAATTAACTGGCAATTCATATAACAAAATAAATAGTTGGTTGGTAATTGCTTGACTGTTTATTGTTAATAGAATTTGGGGATGAAGATAATTTTTTATAATAAATATTTCCATAATAACAACGATAGGTTTTTATTTAAATACCTTCTCAAAAATTAACTTTCACCTGCTTCCGATTTATGGACGGCATAAAACAAATTTTTAATAGCTATGTTACTTGTAAAAAAAAACCATTTTAATGTCATCAGTTCGTCATTAAGTACCTATAATTTTTTTTTTTAATAAAGCCTTAACATGAAAGGTACCTACATCTTAAATTCCCATGGACCCCCGGGCTAAGAGGCTTGTAAATTGCAATTTCCGAAGAGGTTTGATTCCCATTTGCGTTTTTTTCTATATTTTTTCGTCTGGATGGTGTGATAGTTTCGATATTTCAGATTTCCATTTGTATGAATATATTTTTTTTTTCTCTCTTTATTGGGAATAACTAACTACACATTTTTCATTAACAATGATACATTAAATATGTATGACATAAATAATTAAACATGTAGTCAAATACGCTATCCACGACTTACTAATTAGTTTACATAAATTTAAAAACATAGTGTGATGCTGAGCAACAACTAATGATCACTCTCCGGCGCATAATGAGGAAGCATTGGCAAAAGAAGGAAAATAAATTTGAATTACTAGTCAATAGATGGCAGCACTATAACATGTACTTCCATTAATCGTAGTTATTGTAAGTTAGGAAGTTAAACACTAAAATTAACAGTGCACATATTTTTGAAGTATCCTTCAATATCTACCTAAATCTCGAAATATGCTTCCAATCACCTCCCCACCACAAAAAAAACAGTGAAGATATACAGAACAAAAAGAAAAAATGAAATGAGAACTAAAAAAAAAAGACTAACTAAAATAGACCACAAATATACCCTAAAATATTCTGGATAGATCGCCTGAATTGATTATGGGAAAGGTGGAAAATGTCAGCGTACAGAAAATTATTGTTGTACGTGTCGACTATTCGTCGCATAGGTGAACGGATGCCCGCTTTTGTACGACATTTACAAATCGCAAACAACTTGCGAACACGAATGTTGCGCTTGTGAACGATTCTAAGAACAATATAGCATAAACGGTTGATCAAATCAGAGCAATCAAATTTGTTATTGATGATACCATGAGTACCATACATTCAAGAAGTTTGCGTCTGATCTGTAGGGAGAGCAAATCATATTTGGCCAACAGTTGGTTATATTATGATAAATAAGAACCAAAACACCGGTACTGCATGGCCCTAAGATATTTACGTTGTACGCTTTTCAACAAGTCTGTATATTTTTTGTACAGAGGGTTCCATATTGGTATGGAATATTCCAATTGTGGATGTACCAAGGCCTTGTAAAGGTACATGTATGAAGCAGGTTTCCTAAATTCTTTAGAGGATCTCATAATAAAACCATACATTATAAATGCGTTCTTAACATTTTTTTCTATATGTATATCCAAAACTAATTTACTATCTGTTCAGGCATAGTATTTCTCAATATGTGGGTAAACTACAAATCCACGACCCAACGGTGACGGATGCCGCGGCCAGTAAAAAAAAAAAAAAAAACTTTCGGTGGCGCGAAACATAGATGAGTGTGTAATAAAATTATTGTTGTTGAAGTTAACGGTTTTCGGTGTGATATATCGGATTATTTTTATTATTTTGTGTTTAATTGTGAATAAACATTGCAAAGAACAGTTTTCGCCATACATAAGACGATTGCAGTTTATTTGGAAACCAGTGCACTACTGTGAACTTTGGCCAGTCGATCGGTGATCGACCCATTATCTCCTGAAACTGTCGGTGTTAAGGTGAGTGGTTTACTTCTTAGTGGGGAATCCTATGTCTGGACAAAATAAAATACCAATAGAAACGATAGGATCGGCGACCGAATAAAATAACTTGTGCTCATGGGCCATTGAAGGTGTTCCCGCGAACACTATCTAGAGTTACACTTAAATCACGTATGGATGTGACTATTTTTAGGCTAACGTTATAAAGAGAATAGTTGCACTTGATAACTTGTTGTTTTCTTGTAAAATTAATATAATAACATTTAGGTATACTTAACTGTAACTTATTGTTAGTACAATAATCCGTCAATCTGTTTAAATCCTGTTATACAAGAACACAATCAGAAACAGAGTTGATATCGCACGTTGAGAATGACGATGTCACTAACCAAAAACGACGTTTTTTTTTACTTTTGGCAACATTTTCCTTTGTTAAGTATAAACTTTAAAATGCTAAGATCCTTGTAAACGTACCTTGCATAGAAACTGCTAGGTGGCGTTGTGACGATACGTTGTTTAGAGGGGCTGCTTACAATTTCTTGAACTTTAAACGCTCATTACTCAAAATCGCATTTTTTGTATTGTGTCACTATCGTTCTCAACGTACGATATATTTTGAGATCATCAGCATATATAAGAAAATAAGTATTATGAAAACAGTTATCAATATCGTTAATAAATATAACAACAAGTAGTGGACCCAAAATAGAACCTTGAGGTACGCCTGATGTTAGTTGAATACTTTGAGATTGATACCCGTTAACCTTTTGAGAGCTATTTATTATATAAGAAAAAAACCATCTTAATAAATTGCCGCTTATTCCGTTACAAGCTATTTTCTGAAGGAGGATTCATTATGAACAAGTCTCTCGAAAAGCTTTGACAAAGCAGATTATATTGAGATTGGCCTATAATTCTCCACTTCGCGCTTGGAGCCATTCTTGTGTACGGGTACGATATTTGCTATTTTCCAAATTTCGGGGAAGATTCCAACTGAAATACACTTATTAAAGATGATACACAAAGGCTTACAGATACTTAAAGACGTTTTAACTAAAAACACTGATGGAAGTCCATCTGGGCCCGACCCTTGGAAGGATTTAAATTCCGCAAGTATTTTACTCTCGCTGAAGCACAATTTTCTTAAGTGTGTGTCATTTAAAGAACCACAAGAAGGTTCAGATCTCTCTCTATGTTCTGTGGTTCAGACCAAGTAACAAGGGATAAAGTTGAAGGTTCATACACTGAATGAAAGAAAGAGAAGAAATCACAAATTACATTAGGTTCACTAGATATGTCTTTATTATAGCTCATGTGTGAAGCTAGTATAGTATAGTAGCAAGTACCTATACTAGATAAAATTCTTTTGCTAGCTACAAAAGACCAGAAATATTTAACATTATTTTTAATTCCATCCTCTACTGAATTAATATACCGAGTATAACATTCACGAGCCTCTTATTTAAATTCATTATATTGGTTTCAATATTAGTTATCAATAAATCTAGAATATGACTGTGCATTTCTGATGGAATTATATTCATGTGCATTAGGTAATGACATAAAATTTTATAAATAAATTATTATCGGAGTGGATCCTGTGATCCAGCCAAGGGCACCTTCATAGTCATTATTAGGGACCCATTTGATGTTAGGCAAGTTGTAGTCACCAAAAACTTGCGACATTAATATTTTCGATAATACTCATTAATAAATCTAATTGACAGTATATGTATCAAATTATGACTTTGGTGGTATGTAGACGGAGCAACAATATGTTTTTTTTTTACCACATGAACTGAGTAGGCTTACACAGACATGTTCAATATTGTTGATTAAGCTGTTCTGAGAAACTAATTTAATGGACGACGATTTTAAAACTTTCAAAACTGCAACGAGAATCCCACCTCCGTCTCTTTTATTTGTATAACTACGGTTACGGTCATAACGGTATGCTGTATAGCGCTGATCAATAAATTCAGAGTCATCAATTTCAGGTATCAACCATGTTTCCGTCAAAATAATCAGATCATTTTCACGAATCAATGTGTAATTTAGTGCGCAAACCTCTACAGTTTTGATAATAACAAATTTTATTAGCCATTGATAGTATTAAACCAATAAATAACAGTATAGTAAAACAGAAGTGTTACAATAAAAATGGTATTTAAATAAAGTCGACATTTACTCGTAATAATAACAAACTTAGACATAGACAAACCACAATTATATAGGTATATCTTTACCGTTTACTTTCCCAAAATTACACTCACACATGATAGGTTTTATACAATTTTAATCTAAACATAACAAACAAGATCCATACCAAAAGATAATCATCATCCCTAAGCATTCTGCATCATCATCATATTAACCGAAAACCCCACTGCTGGGCATAGGCCTCCCCCAAAGATTTCCAACGTGATCGGTCCTGCGCCTTCCGCATCCAGTGGCTTCCCGCGACCTTCACCAGATCGTCGGTCCACCTTGTGGAAGTAAAGCTAACTCAATGTTTGGAAAATAAATAGCAATAAAAAGTAAATAAGAGCTGTCATGTCATTAGCAATATTTTTGCTCGTACCGCTTTTAATTTTAGACAAATCTCCCGAAGATCGTATTGCAAACGCTGCGTGATAGTTAGATTCACGCACGAGTATAGTTGCATGTTTAATCCAAACGTATTGGTAATTTTCTTTTCTAACAACTTCACGACATTCTAGAAACAACTTCTTTTTTTTCTAATGTCAAATGCTCATTCAATAAGGTCTTATTTAGAGTACCGGGGATACCGATATCTTGGGACGTGGTAACGCTTACCTTACAGAACGCACTCAGTATATTATCTATTAATATGCGGGAGCTAACCTTTACGACAATATTTTTCGGGCGATCTGCCTGTCGCCGTGCCTGCGGGACACTATGTATAGCAACAATATCTTTGTCTGAAATGGATAAATTAAAATGTTTTTCAACCTTGGTAAAATATTTGAGCTATGTATGTGATGTCTAGTATTTATAAGGATGGAATGTCATTCGGATTTTCTGAAGTCTTTTCTAAAGCAGGTAGGTATATGGTAGAATAGACGAAACGCTAATTTGAGTTACTTATCACATTATCTCGTCCTACATCTTGTGACAGCAGATAACGGTCGCTTTATAATAAATCCAGTTTTATCAACTAGATCCAGATTTAGATGTTTGGATTTTAAATTGAGAAAGACTAGCTATTTTCCCGCGACTCCACCCGCGTCCTAGGTAGGTATTATTGTGTGTAAATACTGCTACCCCTTTGTACAATCGTCCATTAAAATTGACATTCGTTTAAAGCGGCACCTAAATGGCCCCTTTTTGAACATATGATTTTTTTTTATTTAATAGACTTTTGTACAACTAACAGTGTATTTAATTAATTACTCGCAAACCATTACAATTATTATGCACACAGCTGCACGTCAGGTTGCCACAAAATGTGACAATTTGACAATTGGTTTTGAACTCTACCCGCAACATATTAAGGTTTAAAATAAATTTGCGTAATTTGATAGTTTTGTATAAATTAACGTGCTGTTGATGGTACGTTCAAGTGTTGTATAAAGTTCCGTCGCGTACGAAAGGTTCCTATGATTGTTCCTTTAAATAGTAATTTTTTTATTAAAGTTATTATTTGTGAAAATTTCAACTACCTATCATGCATGTTTCATGGACAGACAGACGAACGAATAACAGAGTCTTAGTAAGGTCCCGTTTTACACTTTGAATACGAACCTTAAAAAGGATTTTATTGCTATTATAATGAATAAAATGTAATTTTTGGGGAAGGTTTGTGATTTTTTAGTGTCGGAATTATCATCCCATCTCAGGATGCCAGAGACCAAGTGGATTTTTTAAACATTTTTCATTAAGAAGATAAATATTATTCAATAATGATTAGTGAAAACCCATAATTACAAGTATATACCTACTTAGTCGCACATTTTTTTCAGGAATCTATAAAATCTTTTATTTGCAAATAAAATTTAAACAACTTTTGGTCTCATCCGTGTTTGTACTTTTTTTGTTAATAATTATACTTGTCTGTTTGTTTGATTCAATTAAAATTAATACAAATTTGATTGATAGATTACCTTAGAGAAAGAACAAATCTTACGCATCTTGAAATTTCGTGCCGTACGCAAAGCATTGTGCTATAGTCGAAGTTAACTGTTCCTTGATTGTAAATCTCTTGGAAAGTAACAAGAGAAAAAGCTATAAACCCGTTATCGCACTGTACAGAGTGCTATGAACCGATGTGCCAAATTTCGCATGGAAATTAATGATTTCACCAACAAAAAATATATAGTAAAGTGTTGACATTTTATCTAATAACACCTGAAATAGCCATTATGAAAGTGTAAGAAATACCTAGGATTTTTTAAACTTCTGCAATCTAAATAGGTGACAATTTTCAAAAAATTCTTTCACCTAGGGGAAGCTACATCATACGCAGGCTATAATTTACGCGGGTGAAGTCGCGAGCACTCAGTGTGAAATATCTATACGCCAATAAAATAAAATAAAAAACTAGTAGCGTTAGAGGTTTTTCACTCTGTTAAAAAATTATTCTCTCAGGCAGGTAGGCAAAAAGGGCATTGTGCGTGTGTATCCCAGAAATTGGTCGACCACCTTCTACAAAAAGCAAATATGACATCCGTTATAATTTTAATGGTTATGCTAGATAACTTAGTTATTATAATAAAAATAAATATAATATTTATTTTCAAAAAAATAATATACATAGGTTTAAACTCTGTGTTACAATTGAGAAGCTTTTGTGCCTGAATGAGGTTTATATTCTAAACCTAGGGGCCAATTCTACTAAATAAATTTGTTTAAATCGAATCGAAAACGGATCGAAACCGAACGAAACTACAGTTTTTAATGGTTTTTCTATTCTACAAAGTGACATACGATACAATTCCAGTTCTATTTTAGCTGGAATTATATCGTTAGGGTAACAAAATTTATTTAGTAGAATTGGCCCCCTGAATCTCAGGCTCCAGCGCTTATTCCGTCATTAAACGGTCTAACTATAAGTATACAACATTTGATATAAATATTTAAATCCATAATTGATCCATTTTAGTTTCAATAAATATAATTAATCAAATAATAATAATACAAATTAAAATCAAAATAATTTGAGTTTACAATATAGTTACTACCTGTTGTGTGTTTGTTATTTAGTTAATATTATTACACGGTATAGACTTTGTCGTATTATTGTGTTTTATCGTTAAGCTATAAGGAAAGATAATTGCTAAATGTATGTCAAAAACTGTTTTATAATTAATGCTCACAAATGTTACAATTATTATAAAAATGTAAAATTCCCTCCGCTACAGAATGTAAGTATAAGAATCCTTACAAAAATTATTTAGTTTCCTATTTTTTTAATTTCAACTTGTTTGGACATTATTTATTTATACAAAACAAATAAATAATATTTATATTACGTTAATTGCCACATCAACATTTACGGAAAATCTTGTACCTTATGAAATTAATTTTCTTTTATTATTTTGTTATCCTTCTTGATCGGATAATTGCATAATTATTTCAAAGCAGGAAATGATGGGGCAAGATCATTTCTACCTTTAATTGCCTACAATTTGACGATTGTAACAATCAATTCAGTCACCTTTAACACTACGAGACGGTGTAATTCAGTTAAGTGGACGTTGCCCTATCTGATGGCACATGTGAGCCACGTGCGTTGCAAACCACTGAAAATAGAAGTCGGCTCGGTAGTGTCGCGCGGTCAGTCAGTACGAGGGAGAGAGTCCCCGGCGACAGGCAGTCGACTACACGGACAGTTTGCTTACAGTGCGATGCGCGCGCATTTTGCGATCTTTTCCGTCGCCGCGGTATTAGTATTCGTCAACAATGCGAGCTCAGCGCGAATACTTGGCCTCTTCCCACACACTGGTAAGAGTCACCAAATGGTGTTCGAACCGCTCCTTCGTAGATTAGCGGAAAGAGGACACCACGTTACAGTCGTATCGTTTTTTCCATTGAAGAATCGCCCGGAAAATTATACCGACGTCAGCCTCGAAGGCATCGCATCGTTGGGAGTAGAAACAATTGATATGGCTGAATTTGAAAGCTATAATGGGATAGTTGAAGTACCATTGTGGATCGAAAATATAATGAGACAAATATTCGATATCAATCCATTAGGAGACATGGCGTTAAATGTGTGTTCGAAGCTCGTGAGTTGGCAGCCGCTGGCTGAAGCCTTGAGAAAAGATTACGATGTGGCTTTAGTGGAATTTTTTAATAGTGATTGTGTGCATGGTTTGATGCATGTTTACGGGAAGAAAGTGCCCACTATAGCGATGTTATCGAGTGGTTTGATGCAGTGGTCGGCGGACCGAATCGGCGTCACAGATAACCCGGCCTATGTGCCGACGTTCAGCTCATTCTTGACGTCTAGGATGACCTTCATGGAAAGGCTGGAGAACACTATTGCAAACTGTTATCTTAAACTGTGGTATCGGTATAAAGTACAAATGAAAGAACAAGAGATAATCGAGAGACATTTCGGAAGGAAGATCCCAGATTTGAATGACATAGCAAAGAACAGTACGACTATGATGATGGCTAACGTGTTTCACAGCTTGAATGGGGCGAAGCCGTTGCTGCCCGGTTTGGTAGAAGTAGGCGGAATGCACCTGAACCCTAAGAGCACAGGAATCCCATTGGTGAGATTATCATTTCTAAATGAATAACAACGGTTATGTATGTAAAAGAAATGACGCTTGGGTCGGTGTAATACCAAATATTTCACTGTAATATTAAAAAAAAACTAAAGAACTGTAAATAGGTAGGTACTTATATTTGTAGTTAATTAGTTCCTACTTATGTAAAACACTTCACAGTGGTAATTGTTTAAAACTTCTAATAACATGCGTGACATGTCGACTGGTGTCTGGTGTGACGTTCGTTACGTTTGGTTACAACCGAGGTTTCGGGTTCGATTGTAGAATAAACTAAAGAAGTTTTGGTGGTCCATCGTCATCATTAACCCTTTTACGTCCCTGCTCAGGTGGTTAATGAATGGGTATTCTTTTTCCATCTTCAATGCATACAATATGAGATTCGACTTCCAGAACTAAATACGTAGTAACCCGCAAAACCAAAATTGTTCTTCAGAGCGGAAAAACTTTAATTTTTTTCGATAAATAATTCCTAAAAACGTCCATGGTAACAAATAAGGTGAAAAAAAGAACAGAAGAAAAAAATTTTTTTCGAAATATATAAAGATTTTCCACTTTAAATATCCATTTTGGTTTTGCAGTTTGCTACGTGTTTGCTTACCAGCGTCGATATGTAATGTAGGTTAAATAATGAACTGCAATACGTTGTAAATTAGTACTGTCACTAGTATTATAAATACATCGTACTAGAATTATCGGTAGCCTCCGTAGTCGAGTGGCTAGCACATCGATTTCGAGGTGTCGCTGTCTCTCCTGACTCCTAGGTCAAATGGACGCATTAGGGCTTAAATAGCCCGGGACCTGTATTATTGATACGGAGGTAGCTACGCCCCTGATTTTAACATAGGCACTAAGTAAATGTTAAAGGTACTCATAGTAAATTAGTTGGATACACAGGTAAGTAAAAGTCCTAATACTGTCTTCTACTATTTTAATTAAAATTGTAGTAAAATTACCATTTTATTGTTGAATGGCGCATTAAAAGAAAGCAACTTGAATATGATTACTTTTTGTTGCTTTTCATTATAGGTATTGGTATTTATCCATTTATATTGTTAGCTGAATACTCGAGCGCGTAAATTATGATCATATTACTGTACTGTAGGTATAATGTGGCAACATTTTTGATTATATTTTCAGACGCTTAGGTATATTTTTTTTTAGTTTACATCGTGTATAATTCCATCCAATTTCTTCTACGATCTTTAGAAATAGCTATCAACAAAGAGATTTTACCTACTTAGGTATTTACTTAGTGGTCGCTCCGATTGCAGTGCCTAATTCTATTTTATGCTCTATTTTTTGTTGCTAATTTATCAATTTCCAAAATCCAACCGCGGGACTTCCGCATAACCGAAGACTTGATTGACCTTTAAAATGAAACCCCCAGTGATCCTGACAGGCTGACAGATCAGCGAATCAGTCACATCCTTCTGGACAAGCTCGTCCCACCGTAGATCTCATTCATGTTCTTAAGCTGGATCGCGATCAAGATTGAGCCCATTACAAATAAATAAATAAAGAAGGTCTGTCCCATGCTAGTGCATCTGGATTGCCTGGCTCAATGAGATGAAACAGTTTCATGGCTTTAAGTTCGCTCTTACCTAAAGGCTGGATTACGTAATGAGCAGTTTTTTTCTCTTATATCTCGGGTCTAGGTGATTATTGTACTTTCATAATTACATTAAAAAAGGTATAGCTACGTAACAAAGGGCCCTCTTTTCTCAGTGTTTTTGTCACTTACTATTTTTCCAAATAAACGAAGAGGTTTTAACGAAACATTATTTAATAAACCTTCTTATATAATTGGAACATCGGATTAATTAGATGTCTATCATTGGGAGCATAAGTACTTACCTACTATTTGTTTATAATACTGTGATACATAAATATTGTAATTAATTACATATTTATCAATACTAGAAAATATCGTTGTAAACTTATCTCTAGACGACACTTTTTGTTGTTCTATTTGAGTTGTTTTGCTTATTGTCACAATTGCAGAGTTGTTGAATAAGATAATAATTAGATGTCATCATCACCAGCCCTTTTACGTCTCCACTGCAGGGGCCAGGCCTTCCTTATGGATGGCTAAGGAGATGGGCCATGACCCTCCACGCTGGACCAATGCGGATTGGAGGGTATTAACGACTGCAAATGCAGCCGGGACCAACGGCTTACCGTGCCTTCCAAAGCACGGAGTAGCTCGAGATAATTTTTTTTTGGTCACCCATCCTGTGACCGACCCTTGCGAAAGTTGCTTAACGACTACGATCGCGGGCCGCGGCGCTTATCCACTACGCCACCGAGCTACTCAATTAGATGTCATATATGTATGTAATCTTTTAGCTTTACGCTCGCGGCTTCGTCCGCGTGTAATTCGAAACGTATAAAACTCTAGTACGAATCCTTCCTATCCATTGCCTAAATATAAAGTTTCAAATAGGTATTTATCTTGGACTATGACAACACTTCCTACACACTTTTAACCTTTATTTCAACCCCATTTAGCCTAGTTTACGTGACAAACATTATCCTTTGTCCTTTTCCAAGGTCGAATCTGTATTCCAAATTTCATTAAAAGTATTTCAGTAGTTTAACGCAAACAGACATACAGATTAATAATATAATATTATGGATAACTCACATATAAACAACAAGTATTACTTTCTGATAATGATATGTAGGCCATTTCATATCAAACTTCACAATAATCCGATGACGGAGTACTGAACTTTAATTTGTAAACAAACTAGTTTTGCGGCTTCGGCGTGGTCTTGTCTATGAATCTATGAAAAAAAACCGCATCATAATCCTTTGCGTAGTTTTAAAGATTTAAGGGATATGGGCACAGAGAAATCGACTTTCTTCTATACTATGTAGTGATTTACAATACATCTTCGATCCTACATCATCAACACTTTCCCTTTGATTGCGTTTGCTAAATTTCATAGTGAAGATTAACACAACTTAGCCACTGACCCGGTTTTTGCCATTTTAGGACATGACCTGGTTTTGGCAATTTTATAATGGATTTACGAGGAAGTGAACTTTGAAATAGAAAAATCTCAAATTATGCCTAAAATTCGCCACTAATTACATTTCTTGTTGTAATTATAACCCCTTTTTAAACAAAAAAAAATTGATAAATACGTGATTCACTCCGTAGTCGAGAGCATTATGTACCACTTTTTTAATAATTGTAATTATAGGCCAGAGACAGATTTAGAAGCGTAATACGCTATCTCTGTCTCTGTCTATTAAATTACCGGGTGCAAGCTCTTTATATAAAAAAAACTTAAAAAATCCTTAATAAAAAGTCTTTTGGCCCACGCTTAACTTTGCCTAAAGCCTTTTAAACCGAGTTTAAAAAAAGGAGAAGGTTTTTTTATGGAATAGTCGAGCAGACGGATCACCTGATGGAGAGTGATTACCGCCGCCCATGGACACCTGCAACTATTTATTTATCAATGTGACTATTTTTTTTTTTCTGTTCCCGAGCTACTTAACGTTACGTGAAAGTTACTTAACCTCAGTTAACAAAACGCGCTAACCACTGCGCCATTAAATTCCGTATAATTATTTACCTACACATGATTATACAAACAGTACGGAATAGACGATGTCACTATCCATCACCATAAGTCCATCACATATGACCTATGTATTGACAATCATTATAGTAGGATTTAACTGACAGCAACCTTTCAAAATTATTCAAATTTATACTCAGTATCAAGCAAATACATAATCGAAATGACTGAGAAAATAAATACCATGTGAATGACTTCACATTTCTACAGTGTTGAGATCCCAAATTAAGTAAAATAAGGGTGACACTGAACCTCCACAATCAATATTCATGGTCTTCCGACCACGTAGAGAGCAAAACGCAGCGGAATAGAGGAGTCTGCTCACTGTTTCTAAAGCCATTTGCACATCTAGAGCAGACTGGTCGTCTGTAAATCTAAAACTGACTGGTCGTTTGCACAAATTGAGCCGACTAGTCACTGAGACTGTACAAAGTCAAGTTTGAAAACGAAGAAGCTCTTTGTTTAATCAAAACAAACAAACAAAGTGTAGACTTTAGTAAATAATAAAAGTTTAACCATTCTCATATCTATGTTTACCTTATATTCCAGTACATGGAACGATTCCTCAATGAGTCTGATCAAGGCGTAGTGCTGTTCAGCTTCGGGTCTTTGCTTAAAACATCAACGATACCGGAGTACAAAGAACAAATGATAATGAATGCCCTTTCGAGGCTGAAGCAAAATGTTATCTGGAAGTATGAGAATAGTGCAGAGGAAGGAACGAGGATCGGAAATATACTCAAAGTCCGATGGATTCCTCAGTATGATTTGTTAAGTAAGTATAAAATTGTGTACTGATATATTAACGCACGCACGTGTTGCATGAAAAACTCTAGAAACGATTTTGCTTCCTACATTCTATCTAGTAAACTGTTAGAGATACCCTCGGCATTGAACCTGTTTGCTGTTCTATGCAATAAAGATTAAATTAATCAACATCGTATGCGCGCACTGTTTAAAATATAAGGGTGCACCCAAAAAAGTTACATTTGGGTATAGACATTCTACCAGCTTTTTAGATTTTGAGTTACTCAACTTTTGGAATCAGTTTTAGTTTTTACATCTTTTCTTCACTACTATTAAGAAGCAGAGTAATTTTAAGACGGTTTTTTTTGTTAACATAGCAACTTCCTAAGCGAAGCCCCTCGTTACGAAAGTAGTCACATGAAAACTTGTTTTGTCACGTAAAAAGAGGTGAAATTAGTTGCGTGAAAGTAGTTTCATCAAATTACTTTTTCGTCAATGAAATTTGGAGTCCTAGGCAAAACATTGAATCTTGGTGCCCTAGACAAGACCCTGGAACCGCGCCCATAAAAATCACAACAAAATAAAATACTAATGTATACGTTCAGATTAAAGAGTGTAATTTTGCTATCACACTCACTAGGTACGGCTGATCTAGAAATTTTGTATAATATATACCGCGGACATGGACTCATATTCAAAGAACAAAAGTATTTTTTAAGGTTCAAATAATTAGAGCGAACAATTGAGAGAGAGACTGATTTAATTGCTGTGACAAAATGGTAAAATCCAACTTTGAAATGACATTTTACATTATCACGTATAATTTTTATCGGTTATTTATTTACAAGAGCCTTTGACATCTGCTTTTAGCGAACACTATTCGTGATATGAACTAAATATCAGAATATGTTATATTATAAATGCATTTATATTTTATAAATTTTATTGATAAAGTCAAACATATTTCTATGTGGGTTTTTGTTGATAAGATAAATCATACGTTACCTACATTACACAATGTTTATTGACATAATTTAATCGCTACAATTATTATAAATCATAAAACATAACCGTGATTTTTATACGATAGATATCTAGTTAATTAATTTAATTATTCTAATATCCGATCGACCGATTTGACGACCTCAGTAGCCGAGTGGTTTGCACGCCGGTTTCAAAGTGTTATCTCCAAAATTCGCAGTTTCGACTCCAGCCCTTTCATTCTGGAAAAAACCAAATCCGAAAACGAATTCAGTCAGATGCCGAATGCTAAGTAATAAATAACGTTTCATGGCATCAGTGAAGTGAGTTTCGAAATGACATAGGAACAGGATATATGAGACACGTATAATTAATCAATGTTGTTTTGTATTTTTATACAAAAAAAGGAATCAATAGATTTGTTTCACTAAGTGACGTGAATTCGCACACATGATTGAATTCGAATTTGGGTTCGGATTTTTTACAGAATCGCTCTGCTGGTTGGGAAAAGTTGTCGATCTGGGCCTATTGACGCCTCCGGCCTCCGATGAGGTTAGCCCGCCACTAGCTTGACCTACTCATCTTGGAATCTTGAACATTGTGATGTGTAATATTTATTTATTTATTATCCATAGAAAACGTTCAATAAACACTATTAATATTCTTGTTGGAGGATTCTCCCCTAGTCTAGACAAGCTAGGAACATGCCTATTAGATTTACTCTGCTTATCTTTTAAGTTGTCGCTGTTTTTAAAGCTAAATAAGTTGTATCGTTGATCGAAGCTAAATAATTAATTGGTTACACCTTTGTAGTTTTAAGAAAATAAATCTTTCTTCGACAGCAATGTATAATAATAATCCTACCTATATATTTTTATCATTTACCTAGCCAAGTTCCAAAGCTACCATCGCTTCTAAATTAAAAGTATTTCTTTTTTCACAGGGCACAAAAAAGTAATTGCTTTCATTGGCCACGGAGGGCTATTGGGCATGACAGAGGTAGTATCAGTGGGTAAACCCATGCTGGTTGTACCATTCTTTGGTGATCAGCCATATAACGGCAAAATGGCAGAAGAAGTCGGGCTGGGCTTATCAATCCCCTACAGACACATAACAGAGAAGAGATTTTATGAAGCAATCAGTACTGTGCTGAGTGCAGAGTAAGTAAAAATTTTCTGTTTTGGTTTCGTATCCCTAATGAAAAATAAATGAAATCCTAGAAGGATCTGACCCTCTGTTTGTCTATCAAGATTCTTAAGTTTAAGAAATTTAAGTGGAGATATCAAGTTGAAATCAAAACCTAAAATATTAGTGGAAAAAGTATTTTCGCATATAGTATGCACAAATTAAACTATACCATTTGTCTGGCTGGTTTCGGTATCATCAAAAAGTTTATATTTCAAAGATGGTAACTCCGAATTTATATTAGGAAAATGTGTAGTTATCGTTTGTTTTTCTTACTGTCAAAATCTTATGAAGAAATTCGATAAATTTTAAAATTTTATTACAATAAATAGCAACGCAAGCCGCGAAAAAAATTGTGACGTTTATGGACCTAGTGCAGTTTCTGCGAGCGTAGCACAAATTTGGTTTAAACGCCGGCTCAATTAAACTTGGTGCCCTGGGCAAAACATAGAACGACGACGACAATAAAAAAATACAATAAAATAAATGACTAACGTAGGTACATCAAAGAGTGTTATTTAACTAATTATCTCTTGTCTAAATAACACCCGCGTGACGTCATTTAAAAATATAAAGTATATATAGCACTAGTGATAGATAACACATTTATGAATAATTGAAATATATATAAATTATGTGTTAATATTGAGGTAAATGGAAAGTAAAATAATATGAAAAAATGTCGTTTACATTGTAATACCAAAACAAGCGGAAAGAACGAGGCAAAAATTAATAATGAAATGAATACACATGGGTTGTGTTGAGATCACATACATTTTTTTGTTTAAAACTCAATAAATCGTCAACCAGTGTTGGTTTGTTAACGGGACTGATTTTAGAAAGCAAATACGTCACTAAAATGGCGCATTAGCAATTTGCCGGGATTATAGATGCTTACTACTGGTCTGAAAAAAATGATTATTTTAAAACCGGGGACGTAGTCGCGAACTCAAGTTCAAAGAACAAAAGTCTGTTTTTTTTTAAGATACTGCATTTTTACCGTTAGAATAATTAGAGCAAATAGAATCTGTTTGCCATGCCGTGCTGCCCCTCAAATACAAGCCCTGAGGCTACAGAATAGCAAAGCTGATTTTTTTTCTACACCTTTAGAAGATTTTTGTATATTCTTTTTATCAGGCAAAAGATGTCGCCACTTAACCCACCTACTTAGGTAAAATATCGACGCTGGAAAGGCAAAATGTATTAACCGCCATTATATGAATTGTTGAGTAGAGCGATTTGAAGTTTCGAATTTTGCAAAAAAAATCATTACTAATTAATTGCTTGAGCGTTTTCATTGAAAATCAAAATAGTTATTACGAATAACGCTTACTATGAAATGTAATAATAGAAAAAAATCTAGGTGTCTTCGTGTCCAAGATTTTGGAGTTAATACAATGCAATACATAATCTTGGTTAGGTAAAATTGACTTAAGTCAGTTGACCGTACTCACCGTGCTCAGGTAAAACATGTTTTAACGAACGAAAAGCTGCATAAAATGAGCTAGAAAAATGTGTTATATTCTGTACAGCATACTAATACGTCTAAGTTAAATGTTTTATCAGGCCCAGTCAAGTCAGACCGTGAAAACTAAAGTGTCTTATCTTGCATTAAGCTAACGTTACCGCTAGGCTTTAAGTATTATCTCACAATAATTATCACTAATGGAAGTTACGGGTAAAACTAAATAACACAAAAATAGTTTTTTATAAGGACTTTTAATCACGAAATCAAGAATACAACTTTATGCATTAACAAAATATTAAAGCACAAACTTCTGAGATCAATCAGTCTTAAAAAAATGAAAAGGCAATAGTTTTAAGTATACCTAGAGATCAGATATCACAAGTTAATAGGTACTTGTACTTAGACTTATACTAATCAAATACAAAATTATTTATATATTTATCAGAAATTGAATACTAAATATAATATTATCGACTTATTTAATTATATTTGAAACAACATGCATGTGTTTGAAATAACGCACTTCCACATTTCCTGGAATATCATGCTCATGCGCAATATTTTCGGTTTCGGCCTCCAAATTATTAATTTCCTCAGAAATCTGAAATTAAAAAAATAGATCAAAACGGTGTAAGAAAATCCAAGCCTTTCAACAAAAATACTTATAGACGAACACAATCGGTTAAAATAGTAAATGTTCCCACCTATTTACTTAAAACTTCTGTTACATGTACTTGATTTAATATTTCGACGCATTGTAGAATCGCGTAAGATTTTTCAGTCCGAATTTTCAATAAAATCGCATTCCTGAAAATAATTTGTGCACATTAGAATTAATATTTTTGCGCCAAAATACATATTTTATAGAAGTACGTATGATTACACAAATGTATTAATTAATTCAATGAATAACTTCAAAGAAAAATTGGAATCGAACCCACAACCTCGTTTACAGCAGTCGCATACACTTCTACTGTACTACCACGGCAATAAAAAAAGAAATAATAAGGTTGAAATAAATCAAATAATAATTCTTTTTTAGTAAATCAGTTGTTACTTTCTATAATTATATCGTCTATAAATATATCATACTAAAAAGGTAGGTTATGCTTTATAAAATAAATAAAATATTTAGTTAATAAAAGGTCAAATAGACTTACATCTTTTGTAGGACTTTTGATAATGACTGTCGGAAACAATGGTTTAAATATATTAACTTCGTTTGAATTGTTGAGATCAGATCCTGAAACACAAATGGAGCATTAGATAATCGTTATCATCTTTTGTTTAGGTACGTAAACAGTCCAAAGTAGGTAACGGATCAAATGACTTATTTATATACCTAACTACAAACTATGGACATTTAAACTATTAGTATATAAGACGTACCAGATTGTTGGTTCCCTCAAGACGTCCGGAATGCTCTTCCATTATGTCTTCATTCTAATAAGAAAGAAAATAGGTATTTTAGTTAAGTAAGTACTCATTATACGAATCCAAATATTTTGGTAGCTTATTGTAAAACACCTATTAGTGCTTAGTTATTTACCTAATTGTATTAAAAATTTTACTGGGTTAATTAATTATAAAATATCCAATACCTAAATAATATACATACCTGTTCATTAGAATCGGGTTCAATGTCAAATCTTTTGTCTAACACTTTTTGGTAAAATTATTTACGAACAGCGTATTGCGACAGCAAGCGTGACCTCCCTCGACGACAGTGCACGGGTGGCTGAAGCGCCCGCACAACTCTCTCGGCCCTAACTAACAGCCGCGGTCTCTGTGAATAACAGTCTTGAACTACCGTCTAACCACCATAGTTTCGTATTTATCAGTCTTTTTTGGTAGGTTTAACTCACAAATGCAATAAATTTTGCATTAAGTAAATTAATTGAAGTGCTATAAACACTTTAGAATAGCTTCAGGTAAAATTGTATTATCGACCATTTAAGTATTAAATGTTGTCGATAAAATTGTTTTAACGTCCAAATAATTGTAACATGCAGAAAAGTAAAATGTTTTAAACGACAAAAACATATATTTTATTTACAAGGAAATTGATTTATGTTTAGATTTTAAAATAATTGCCAATCTATAAAATGTTTTATTACGTTATTTTTTTGAAAATTGAAAAGGTAAAGAGTTTTAACAAAAATCTAGTTGTAAGCTTAAGCAGGTATAAATGACTTATCAATAGTTTGTTACTATCATGTACGCTTTATGAACCAAAGTTAAAAAATGAATGGATTTAATACAAAAAAATATACGAAAAAGTCGAAAATCACCGGTGTATTAACCACCATGAAAGTGCTCAGATTAAGTCGCTACCTAGACTATTCGAAAGAGAAAAATCAGGCGATTCCAACGATATATATAACTCATATTCGACCAAAGTGGCGCTTAATACATTTTGCCTTTCCAGCGTCGATATGTTGAGTCATTTAAAATTTCAAAGTGCTTTCTATTATTATTAATTTTATCAATATTGCATTCGCATTCACATTCACTGATAAATGAGCTATATTCGCAGTCTCTGTGCTGTAGTCTATATTATCGACTAATAAGATAACCTAAGGAGCCGTAAACAGTAGCATCATTTATTAAAGATCAAGGCTAAGATAATTTTGTCATAGCGTCATTCATCATCCATCATTGTGAGTTGATAGGTTGATTGTCAATCAGGGAGACCTCCACAGAGTTTGAAATAATTAGGTAAGTACTTACCTACAATAATTCTTTGGCTCGGAACCGAAGATCAACTAAGTACTCTATTAGTAAAAGAAACATGAAAATTAGAATAAAACCAGTGGCGTAGCTACTAAGGGGCTAGGCGGGGCAGTGCCCCGGGGCCCTCAAGCTCAGGGGGCCCTCGAATCTTAACCAGAAAATCTCAATCAAACTCAACTTTTGAAAATTTCTCCCATTTTTAAAATAAATATGACACGTGACAACTTGAGTTTAATCATGGCAACTCAGTTGTGAGAAATTCCAAAGTTATAAAAAGTGAATTCCCCTAAATTATTTCTGTGGGTTGACAGTGTTATTAATGTTTTCATCAATTTGTCGGATATCAATATCTGCATATTATTATTTATCGATATGCCTTTTTGTGATTCACGATTGTGAACTTCAAGTCAAGATTTTTTTCGAGAATGGTTAAAATGTTAATGTATCAGGAGCAAGTAAACGTATGTCAATAAATTTTTTGTACTGGTCCATACAAAAGTTCAATTTTATTTGATTATAGTACATATACATAGTTACGTCTATAGATTTCGAAGTCTTTAGATTTCGGCTACTCACTAGATAACTCAAAATACCATGAAAAATACAAGTCACATGCGGTAGGGGGCCGCTTAATTACGTGATGTTTTTTGACATTTTTTAAACCGTCAAATGTGGTAACACTGGCGGCGATAAAATGTTTGCCGGGGATTCCCCAACGATGTCTTGTATCGTATCATTACGTTTCGCTTTCCTTTTACTTGTAACGTTGTCAGT